TATATATATATATATATATATATATATATATATATATATATATATATATATATATATATATATATAACGTAGATATTGTGGTTGTAAATAGAAAAGTGACCTTCAGAACAAATCATGTCAGTGTGAATTCCATTTCGTTTTTTAGGTCGCTTATTTGACGACAGGCGTCTTCCCGGTTGCTCGGCTTAATAAAACGTTCAACCTCTTATGTGGTTCACCATTACAAGTTTCGGAGCTTGGGTTGCGGTCCCCATGGGGTTTACTCCTCTCTTATGGGATCTGGCGACGTAATAAATTGCCTTCTCTGAAGCNAAAACATGATATCACTGCAGAAACTTGATTGTTCGAGGCATCTAACTCCACCAGGTAGGTTCGAGTTGAAATGCGTAACATTTTTTAATTTAACATCGTCTTTACGCCGTCGAATACCTTTGATAGTCCCGGGACCGTCTTCATTTGACTCTATCCTTCAGCAACATGTTCAAGGGCTTCTAGAGCAGATGAGTCATGGATGACGGGAATGAAGAGTAATGGTTTATCAGATACAAGAATGGCCGCAGAGGTGATGTTACCGGGATCGGGTCGACAACTATGCTTGTCAATGATAAAGCTCGAATATTGGGTTGAAGGCAAGGAAACATATACCTATGTGCAGCTAAATCGGTATTTGTGGAATAGCACGAGCACCGGTTCCAGGTATTATAAAATGTAAGCGTAGTAAGCAGACCCTCTGGGAAACACTTACTCGTGCTGTAAAACACCTAACAGCATTAAAATGTGGAAAATAACATGCATTGAAGGTAACGTCACCTCTATCCAATTCATCCGAATTTCCCCTTGGCGAAAATACTAAGTTGTGACTCACCAATTTCGAAATTGAAGTAAGAATAAAATCGAAATCCTCCACTGAAGAGCGACACAATCAACAAACATACCTGGTTTCTCTCTGACATTATCAGTTTCCTTTGCGGTAGCATAGTTGAACTGGTGCCATTTGGCCTTGTCTAGTTCAACTGCGTATAAATCGTTGTGGAAATAACCAACCACCGTCTCTCCATCTTCGCTCTCCACATCGTGGACACCACCGAATATAAGTGCTCGATTGTTTCCATGCGCGATGCCGGCCATAGCGTTGCGTGGTGGTTTCGGACGCAAACCTGAAGGTCTCACACTAAGACTGGAAGCGGCCGATCCATCTTCTGTGAGGAGATGGATAGAGGAATAGCGATTCATTGCATGGTTGGATTTCACGTAAAATTTTGCTTGGGCAGCATGAATAACTCTAGATATTGTCTCTAGAGTGATTGCCACTTTTTTCAAGGATGTTTCCAAAGTCGCTTGTGGATTATTCCTACAATGCATGCTTTTTTATTGCTTAGTTTTTCTAATCTGGTGTGCTAAAATGGTCAGCTATTCAACAAAGATGCAGCGGCGTTAGTCACCGTACGAAAATTACAGGGAAAGCGAAGAAAATTATTGTAAAGCACCAAACATATATATATATATATATATGCCTTCAAAAGCCTCAGTACGTCGGGGGTGGATGTCTAGGGTTGCAGCTGGCCACTCTTCCCTCGCGAAATGCTCCTATACGACCAAGCGTCTCGAATAGCCTCTGCTGAGGAAGCCCTACTCACTGCCTTCTCTGGGTGGTGTTTTCCCACTAAGGTGAGAGGACGAAAAGCCGACATCCGGGGCTATAACCGGGTTGGTGGNTCACCTAGGGGAGTTGACCAAAAGCCCTGATTCCAAACCAACCGCGAGGACGCGTGCGAACCACACACACCTTCCCGGTTGTGGCATTGGGCACCATGGACGTTTGACCCCGTCCTAAGGGCGGATGATCCGATGAATTGGACACCGGCCCCCAATGGATTGCGGTTTTCACACACCGCCCCGCTGCCTTGCGGGTCAAGCTTTGGCCATCCAAAGGCTCCGGCAGTGGATTCCTCAAGAACCTTCACCTGCCCTGGTCTGGACAGTATTCCGCAAATTATGCAAATTATGAAACGTTTTCCTTTTTCATAAGGATTATTGTACCATGATTTGTTTGACGCAGTCTGGATTCAGACATGTGTGATTATATATATATACCAATCTTTACAGCTACACAGTCAAATTAGCCATGGGTGAAAAGAATACAAAAGGAACAGAACACAATTAGTTTTTTTTTGGGGGGGGGCAACAATCCAATTTTGTTTACTGCATACAAACTTTTCTGGCCTTTTACTTTTGGGATTCTACACACGTTAAATGTATTCACGCCATCGACTCCGGTTCAGTGCTATATGCCGTAGTATTTCCAAACAAAGACGACCTGAATCTTTGGATCCCAGTGTGGAAGCTAGATCCTTCAACCTTCTTCAGTCCTGAGCCACCTCGGTGGGTTGTATCTGTTTCTTTCACTTTAGTCTGATGTTTGCAAATAACTCGCGGCAGGGCATTCATATGACATGTCCCCAGCTATTTCAGTGAAATGTTTTTGCTTAACAGAAGACTATCTTCCCTGAACATGTCCATTAACCTGATCGTTGCTCACGCAACACTAACATCCTACGCAAACGATGCCACGCAGGCAATGGTTGTCGAATAAAGTACTTGGTCGTGATCTGCTCGGAGGCTAAGTTTAGCGGCCGTAACCTACAGGTACCCTTAAGATAAATGCAATCCTTTTCAATGAAAGGGATATGACCGAAACCTCATTAGCATTATCGTACGGGAAAATGCTACGAATCACTGAGGTCAAAAGAGTATAAAGTCTTACTGTATATACATACATTTTCAACCTGATCTGACACGCAGTGGCGATGAAAAAGCCATTGTTATCGGTTCGCTGCGATGCCTTCAGTGTCCTTAATCAACCAGCAACAGCCTTTTGGATACCAATCCCGAACAAGGGAGAGAGAGGAGACGCATACTCTAACTAATCTAAGAGCACATTCATCATAATCTTTGTACAGCGTAACATAGTGAGGTGAACTTTACTGATTGCTGCCAAACTCATACTGCATAGAAAGGAAGTGAGACTGTGTAAGGACAGGGATTGGGCTTATTTTTAGGGACAGGAAAAGAAAGCGAACCTATACGGTCAGCACAAAGAGAGCGTAGTCTAGCTGTGCATACACATTATTTCAAGCATTACGATCTGATAAAAGACAGCAACATCACCACTGCTGTCAGTTTGCTGCCATGACCTTCAATGTCTTCAGCCATAAAGTTATGGAGTCTGTTGGACCCCAACCCGGAAGACGAGGGACACGCACTCTACTTAATCGCTCTGTGCATTTTTTCATACCTCGCCTCCATGTGACTTTCTCCAATCTGTAACAGCCACTGTGAATAAGGCGCGGTCCCGTAGGCGACCGTTAGACATGCGCAAAACGTTCTAACCAACGGAGACTATTGAGCTGAATTCGACGCGATAGCGAGTTTGTGTTCGATGGATTCCCACACATCCGACAACTTACTTCTGGGCTACTAACCCGCTTGCTCCATCCAACCTGGGCCAGACTAGGTGAGCATCGATTGTCGAAAACCACTGGACGACGGATGTTTTCTACCCGAAAATTGAAGGTCTCACAACCGTAAAACAAAGATGACCGTACAGTGGCTCAGTATACGCGACTTTCCAACTTCTAACAAACATCACGTCGTCGCTACAGGTGTTTAAGTCCTACGTACTCTGCTCGAGCCTTGGAAGTGAGGGTGGTTATATCCTTTGATGTGCTACCATCGTTGGTGACGCAGCTACCTAAGTACGAGGAGAAGCCAACTTCCGATAATTCCTGACCGTCTAGTTTCAGAACGGGACTCCGCGACACAGTCTTGCAGCTTCACTTCGAACTTTGAAGGTACAAAGCTCATACCGAACGGAGCGACAGAACTTGCTAATCTCTCAAGTGCTCTTTGTGCATCCTCCATAGATTCGAACAGGCAAACGATGTCGCCAGTGTACTCTATGTTGGTCAGCTTTTCTCCAGCTGCCCATTTAATACCAAAATTTTAGAGACCATTCAAAG